ACACACACACACACACACACACACATATGTATGTATGTATGTGTATATATATCAGTACAGGCTCATGAATATTTATTTTGTTCTAAGGGTTGTGATTCATTACTTTTATCATTTATTTATTGCAGATTTTGTTTTTAATTATGAAAAGTAGGTTTTGGAACAATGTGGAGGAGAGCACAGGCCCACTTCTCTTATTTTGGGGAAGAAGTGATGAGGAGCAGGGAGGGAGGTGACTTCCATGCAGGCAAGCAGATGACACGGCCAGGGTGGTCCTCAGGCTCATTTGATCCCACTCTTCCCCATTGCTGAGTTATTACTTTCCAGAAACATGACTTGCCCATTCCAAAGGCACGCGTATCTGGCTGAGGCTGAAGCCAGAAGCCCTCTCATCCACTAACGGGGTTCTCTGTTCTGCCCTCCAAGGACCTTCTGGTGCTGAGTGCGTGAGTGACAGAGGCAGAAACGTTGCTGCAGCCCCGAGAGAAGCCAGACCCTGTCTTGGAGAGGCTCAGCTTGGCCACAGTCTCCGGGGCCTACGTGCCTTCAGCCCTCCATGACACGTCCCTTGCTAGCCCTTCAACCCCCTTCCCCATGTATCCTCACCCCAAGAAGGGACCCAGCCATTGCCCCCCATTGGCAAACAATCTCATCCATGTCCATGGTCAGTCCTGGGGACAGGGAGGAGGTTACCTCAAAGACTTCACTCCACAGACTCCACGTGGCATGCTTTCTACTCTCAATAAAAAAATCCCACTTTCCCTGCAGCTGTTTGGGGTGAGTCTTGGTGAAGGACTCCTTTGGGGTCTGGTCATTTTTCTTCCCTGTTTGGTGGTTTGGGACATTGGCAGTTGAAGCTACAAGTGGACAGAGGGTAATTCAGTCCACAGCTGGAAAAATATCAGACATATCTGAGGAGCCACAGATGAGCAGAAAGGAGATTTAATTGGCTCTTACCATCTTATTCAGCACTCCTTTGGCTAGTCCCTTCTGCCTCCTCAGCACACAGGGATGGCCAGGACTCAGAAGCAACGAGTTCCAAATCATCAGACTTCACGCTACAGACCCACTGCATTATAACATGACTCCTGTGCGCCATGAGGCAAGGGTCTTATGTCCTTTCTCAGCTTTCAGTTGCTCCTCCTCTCCCCTTCTTCTGTTCTCCAAGCTTGTGATTAGCCCAGATCCAAAACGATGATGGATGAATTCTAGGCCCCAGGAAGAGGTGAAAGGGCAAACAAACAAAACCCACCCCTTTCTGCCACATCTTCCTGAGGGCTAATTTTTGTTGAGCACTTTACTACCTGCCAAACCCCGCACTAAAGCCTTGAGACTTGATCTCATTTAAGCCTCTTGGCAGCCCCTTGAGATAGGTACCAGGATGGTCTCTATTTTGCAGATGAGGAAACTGAGGTACCAAGAAATTCAGTAACTTGTCCAAGGTTACACAGCTGAAAAGTGGCAGAACCCTGATGGTTTAGCTCCAGAGCCCATCCCCTAACCACATTTCCTCTGCTCATGGATTGCATGGGGTGGTCCCAGGCTGAATTTGGTCCTGAAATCTGCAGAGGAAGTGGAGGATGGAGAATCACACACCAGTGCTTAAATACTTCTATTGGGAAGAGAGGCATGTCACTTCTCACATTTCATTGGCCAAAGCCAATCCCATGACCTTGTCTGACCTCAAGGGATGTTATTGTGGTTCGTTGCCTTCAGGTTGATTCTGACTCATGGCGACCCAATGTGTGTAGAGCTGCTTCAGAAGCAGATCAATAGGTCTGCCTTCTGCGTGCCTCTGGGTTGGCTTGAACTGCCAACCTTTCAGCTAGTAGTTGAGCATTTGACCATTTGCACCACCCAGGGACTGCTCCTCAAGGTATAAGGAGGTATCATCCTTGCCTATGCCCAGGAAGGGGCAGGGGTGGGAAACCAAATATATCGGTGAACACCAGTTATGTCTTCCACATACCCCCATGTCCTATGTCCTCCTGTGGAAGCTGGAAAAGCGGCTGAGGAGGATCATGGCTCCTGTTGCCATAGAGATATGGCACAGACCCAGGAACAGTCCGGAAAATGAGGATGGAGAGTCCAATTCAGTTCTTTATCAGCATGTCCTTAGTTTCAAGAAGTAAAGTCCAATAAATACACTAGACCCTGGTCCCACTCAGAGCACCTGTCTTCCAGGCCCCATCCCAAGGCTCCTGGAAATCCCGTCTGCCAGATAGCAAGGGAAACAGTCCATTTCTTCATATTAAAAACATTCACACAGCATTTCAGGTGGGGATCTCTGGAAACAGGACAGCTTTATGTGTGATTGCTCTCACCCCTGACATTAGGTGGTCATTCAAGGAGAAAGATTTTGGAGGTAGCAGGATGGGTATCAAATCTTGCCTTCATCACTTAATGCCTGTGTGATTTTGGCAAGGCCGTTAACCTTTCTGAAGCTCATTTTTCTGATCTGAAAAATGGGGATAATAATAACTATAAGGCAGGTGTGAGGATTAAAAGAGAGAACTTTTTTCCTGTGGTGTTAAGCACTGAGAATAGCATACTCTAAGAGCTCAGTGTGTTAGCTGCTGTCATAAAAGTGGTGACCAATTCCTAAAGTGTGAGTGGTTGGATCATCCTGTCTCTGATCAGAGCTAAACTGAAGACAAGAGGGGTACTTGCTTTGTCTCTCTGTCAAGAGAGTGCCTAAGAAACTCCTTCAAGATCAAAGGCTGCTCCCAAAGACAGTTTCACGTCTATGTTTAGAGTCATAGGGGACATTTCTGGCAGATTTAGAAGAGTTATGTGACTCTAGCTCCTAGCCCTGGGGCCTCAGAAATAGTGAAGTCCCTTTTACACAACTAAGAGAGTTTTTTCCTCTGTGATTGCTGAAAACAGAGTTTTAAAATATCTTACCCTTTTTTTCCCTTTAATATTCATACCAAGAAGTTTAACTTTTGGGTTCTCTAGTTCAATATTGGGGACCTCTGGTGGCATAGTGCCTAAGGCATTTGACTGCTAACCAGAAGGCTGGCGGTTCAAACCCACCAACCACTCCTTGGAAAGAAGATTGGGCGATCTACTTCCGTAGAGATACTGCCTTGGAAACCCAAGGAGGGGTTGCTATGGGTTGGGATCAATTTGATGGCAGTGAGTTTGTTTGTTTTTTGAATTTCAGAGATCTGGATGCACCAATGTTTCATCCATTAATTCAGTGCCTACCATGGCTTTGTTGTTGTTGTTGGGTGCTGTGCGGTCGATTTTGACTCATAGCTAGTCCAGTGACAGAGTAGAACTGCCTGATAGGGTTTTCTTGGCTGTAATATCCAGCCATAAACATCCATTAATAATCAGAACATGAATGTATGAAGTATGAATCTAGAAAAATTGGAAGTTGCCAAAAATGAAGTGGAACACATGAAGACCTATAACCTAGGCATTAGTGAGCAGAAATGGGCTGGTTTGGGCCATTTTGAATCAGACAACTGTACGATCTACTATGCCAGGAATGACAAATTGAAGAGGAATGGTGTGGCATTCATTGTCACAAAAAAATGTTTCAAGATCTATGCTGAAGTACAATGCTGTCAGTAATAGGACATATGCCATATGCCTATAAGGATGACCAGTTATACTACTGTTATTCAAATTAATGCACAAACCACCAAAGCCAAAGATGAGGAAATAGAAGTTTTTTTTTTTTTTTTAACCAAGTTCTGAAGTCTGAAATTGACCAAACATGCAATAAAAATGTATTGATTATTACTGGTGATTGGAATGTGAAAGGTGGAAATAAAGAAGAATCACTAGTAGCTGGAAAATATGACCTTGGTGATAGAAATGACCCTGGAGATCGCATAATAGAATTTTGCAAGACCAACAACTTATTCATTGCAAATACCTTTTTTTTTTTCAATAATATAAATAGTGGTTATACACATGGACCTTGCCAGATGGACTACACAGGAATCAAATTGACTATATCTGTGGAAACAAGTGATGGAGAAGCTCAATATCTTCAGTCAAAACAAGACCAGGAGCTGATTGTGGAATAGACCATCAATTACTCATATGCAAGTTCAAGTTAAAGCTGAAAATAATTAAAACAAGTCCACTAGGGCCAAAATATGACCTTGATTATATCCCACCTGAATTTAGAGACCATCTGAGGAACAGATTTGATGCACTGAGTACCAATGACTGAAAACGAGAGGAACTGTGGAATGACATAAAGAACACTATCCATGAAGAAAGCAAAAAGTTGTTAAAAAGACAAGAAAGGAAGAAAAGACCAAAGTGGATATCAGAAGAGACTCTGAAACTTGCTCTTGAATGGAGAGTAGCTAAAGCAAATGGAAGAAATGACAAGATAAAAGAGCTGAACAGAAGATTTCAAAGAACAGTTTGAGAAGACAAAGTCAATTATTATAATGAAATGTGCAAAGACCTGGAGTTAGAGAACCAAAAGGGAAGAACATACTCAACATTTCTCAAGCTGAAAGAACTGAAGAAAAAAATTCAAGCCTCGAGCTGCAATATTCAAAAGAAGATGGAAGGTATACACAGAGCCACTGTACCAAAAAGAATTGGTTGATGTGCATCTATTTCAAGAAGTGATATATGCAAAGAACCAATAACATTGAAAGAAGAAATTGAAGCAGCACTGAAGGAACTGGTGAAAAACAAGGCTCCAGGAATTGGGGGAATATCCACTGAGATGTTTCAACAAACGAATGCTGCACTGGAGGCACTTTTTCATCTATGCAAAGAAATTTGGAAGACAGCTACCTAGCCAACTGCTTGGAAGAGATCCATATTTGTATTCATCCTAAAGAAAGGTGATCCAACAGAATGTGAAAATTATTGAATAATATAATTAATATCACATACAAGTAAGATTTTACTGATGATAATTTAAAAATGGCTGCAGCAATATATTGACAGGGTGTGAGGATTAAAGGAGATAATCCTTTAAGTGCCTGACACTTTGAACTCAGATTTAAAGCCTCCAAACTGTAAGAGAATAAACTCCTGTTTGTTAAAGCCATCCCATTTGTGATATACTTCTGTTACAGTGGCAATAGGTAACCAAAACAACTTATATATTTTTTTGTCTTTTTTAAGGATTTCTTTAAATATTTCATCTCATTTATTGCCTTTCCCCCTTTATTTTTATTTTTATGTTTTTCTTTCTCTTTTTGGTGATTGTTCCTGTGTGTTTATGTTGTGTGTGTTTTTTGTCCTCTTTTCACTCTTTTGGTGTTTTATTATTATTGTTGTTATTATTATTATTATTGTTTTTGTCTAACTGAGTGTGAGAAACAATTGTGTCCATACAACCCAACCATACCCATACCTCCTGCAGCCCCACCTATTGAGTGAGTGCCACCACTTGCTTTGGCACCAATTGGCCAATGATACATGACAGCCAATATGAGCCTGACTCCTCACCCTTATCATCT